GGTTAGACTTGTCTTAAGAACCCATGCTTGTCGTAAGATCGGATTGGGTGGTCAGGTTCGTTGACTTGTTCAACACATGTCATCGTATCCCAATTGCGTAGGTCGATGCTCATGATGTTGATCACTGGGTTGTTTGGTCCAGACTCGATTATTTTTTGACCGCCGTCATATAGCTGGAATATTGCTGAGTGCGGCGTAAAACAACAACCAAACCGAACCAATCTTAGACAGCATGTTATCTTGCCAATACTTCTGTTTTGTTGTCAGCACATGACACAGACCATTTTAATCTGAATTCAAACGCCACTATTGAAACCTCCGCATTGAGGTTACCGTGACCACACACACGCACGCACCCACACTCGCACGGATGCACGCACACGACTGTGTTTAAACCAATGTTTTGAGAGTGCCAACTATTAAGGACTTGAAGAATAATGACTATTATTATGATTATACAACTTCTTTTATTCTGTGGAGGCGACGTTTCGACATCGATTCTTATGTCGTTGTCAAGCAAGTGAAAACGACAACGAAGTGACAACGACAACGACTTTAGAATCTATGTCGAAACGTCGCCTCCACAGAATAAAAGAAGTTGTATATCCATAATAATTGTCATTATTCTTCATCAACTCAACTTCTAAAATGCCCATCAAAGAAGTCATATTAAGGACTTGCCTATATGGTCAAACTCACAATCACTCATGACCACACATTCACCATTCACTGCCTTATAACGAATTATAACTTAACCGTTATAACGCCCTCTCACGTCGGAAGAAAACAAACGTGCTTACCCAGCATATGGGCTCTGACAGGGCTCTGAAAGCGTCAACTGGGTTAAGATTATGTTAACGTTTGCGTTAAATAATTAAAATGCCTCGAAATTGAAGATTATGATACCAATCGATTGGAAAAAAGACAAGAGCAATGATGCAGAGGTTGTTATTAAAGGAAACAATATCTATAGATGATCGATATAATACATAAATAGTTCAGCGGATATATATCATGTGGCATGATATATATATCTATATCTCTCTATATATATCTATCTACTAGTATATATATATCTATATATATCTCTATATACGAGTATAGTCAACACGTAAGTTCAGTTTACGAATGACATTATCGCCATGTCAAAATTTTACAATAATCATATCGTATTTTTGTGTGTTTATTACAGATGCCAGTTTGGTTCTCTTTTTATATAATTTCCATAAAATATTTGGTTTAATTTTCTATTTTCTACAACTTACATTTTATATAACTAAATCAAATTCATTTGTAATATGCTCTTTTTACTTCTGTATGGATATCATGTGTTTTGTTACATATACTGAGTGAAACAAATAAGGGAACACCACTTCATGGCAGAGGTCCATTATTTATTCTCAGATTTCCCCCCACTGCGCTATTCAAAGCTAGTGATGAAAACTGGAAAATATTAAATGAACGCTTGAATTTTCCTGTGTTCCTTTATTTGTTTCTCTCAGTATATACTGATATATCGTGCATTTAATCATCTAACATATAATTAATATTATCTTATTTAATACCCACACCCCACACCGTTCATCAGTGAACGTTAAAGCCATATTTGGGCATTGCTCAACGTGCGCAGTGACTCTACATGCACGTCACAACATGGCTACAATAGGTGTGTTACCTTCATTGACTCTGTTATACTTGAAGTAAAAGTAAACACTTACTATAATGAATGGCAACTACTGTAAAGATAATCGTAGGCACTTGACCGCTGGGTCAGTGGTACGCCCGCTTCCCTCCCCCACCACCTCTCTCCACACACGGGCGTGAACTAAACGTCTAGCCTCCCTCTGTTGATAACGGGCTTGCAGGTCACGATGACCTGTCATCCACAGTGACGTATTGCAGACAAGTGCGTGGTAGCCGCACTTGACCACAGGAATGTCACAATGACCCCTTCATATCTTCTCAGGGGTGTACGCTGCTATGTCCGTGTAACATACACACGTGACTGTATTCGGGAATCTATTTTCTACAAATGTGTACCTGCATGAATATATGTTTGTCTGAACCTCGATAACTTTTCACTTATATTTTTCTGATGCTGATTTCCTATGAAATATAGCTGGATGGATATGCATTTTCTAATAATCGGGACTAATTATATATAATATATAATTATATGCAGATATGCAAACCAATCGAACAGGACCACTCTCGGTCTTTGGCAAGAGTGAGTGAGTTTAGTTTTACGCCACACCCAGCAATATTCCAGCTGTATGGCGGCGGTCTGTAAATAATCGAGTCTGGACCAGACAATCCAGTGATCAACAGCATGAGCATCGATCTGCGGAATTGGGAACCGATGACATGTGTCAACCAAGTCAGCGAGCCTGACCACCCGATCCCGTTAGTCGCCTCTTACGACAAGCATGAGTTACTGAAGATCAATATTCTAACCCGGACCTTCAAGTGCCCCTTTGACAAGAGATATGTTGTGTTGAACAAATTACGAACTTTTTTGAACGATGAATACACACAGTTTGACTCTATTCATCCGGAATTCACATTTCACTGTGTACTGAGGCCGAAGAGATTGTTTGTTGTTTTACGCCGCACTCAGCAATACCCCGGCCATATGAATGGGTGAGTGAGTGAGTGAGTGAGTTGGGTTTTACGCCGCTTTTAGCAATATTCCAGCAACACCACGGCGGGGGACACCAGAAATGGGCTTCACACACTGTACTCATGTGGGTAATCGAATGGCAAAACTTCGATAAGAGCTGATAATCCAGACTGGTTTTCTATAAAAGTCTTTCAACGTCACTTACAAGTTTAGACGGCGAGAGTTTATTATATATATATATATATATTGGATGTCGCAACGAATTTGTTTAGTCTCTTTTTACATGACGAGAGAGTCTCTTGAAAGGCTGGCAATATGATTTTAAGCAAGCTTCATTCAGTTTTGAACTGCCGTTAACCCCAACTATTTTGACCTCTGCTTCACGAGTCGATGTTAGCCTGTTATTTTAATTCCAGAAATAATTCATCTTATTTAAAAAAAACATATCTACAAAACAAATGCACGTGGAGCAAAGAACAATCCTCAATTTCTGGCCTACAGCGGAGACAATTTAGACATGTCAAATCATTCTAGACTTGAGTAGGCCTCTCTCTTTATAGAATGCTCTAGAGTCTGGGAGTAGACTTACATTTAGTATCTGAAATGAACATATTTTACAGAAAAAAACAGTTCCTAAATTATAACATAAAATATAATGAAAAGGAGCCCAGAGACTTTGTTCATTTTCCGAAACTGTGGAAATCTAGACTTGTCATATCCTAGACTTTCATGGGCTTTCTTGGGTATATTTGTCTGAGGGTCTCTGGTATGACTGACTAGTCTGGGAGATTAGAGTCAATGTTTGTAGGGATAGAACAAAACAGTTTGACTTTTCTGTACTTTCCAATTTATAAAAAGTACAGAATATTGGTCAAACCAGCTTTGGTCAAACGTGTGAAAACGCCTATATTTACACGTTGCAAATGAACAAGAAACCATATACGATGAATGCACACATGATACATTATGAAATATTGCATGAAAGCCAAACACTCATCCGAAGACAGGTCATTCAAAGGGAAAGGTAATATCTGTTTAATGTCTCATTCACCAAACCATTACTACAACGTTTACTATCACTTGACTTCAATCGGCACAGTTAACCCTAGGTGGGCTGAATGTTGCCAGACTCCCCGCAGTTGACCAGGTTCACTTACCCTTAATCTAACGTAACGCGGGTTGGCGTTAATAACGCATCACTGACGTTGCCTTATACGGTCAGGAGAAGTGTTGTATAAGACCTTAAGACAACATTACGTCACGTTTGTTGTATCGTATGTTGATAGTTTGGTGATGTATTTAATCTTTATCTAAATGTGTTTATATTCATTCAGTCTTTTGCCCGGCGAACCCAGTGAGCACGAAGCAGTGCTTACTTTTTATATATACTGAGAGAAACAAATAAAGGATCACAATAAAATTCAAGCGTTCCTTTGATATTTTCCATCATCAGCTTTGAATAACGCTGTGGTGATAAAAACAATAATATAGGAACGTTGAATTTCCCTGTGATCCTTTGTTTGTTTCTCTCAGTATATTATACATATGTAAACAAGACACTATGTTTATTATCATTATTATGATGAAGATTGATACCATTGATAATAAGGATCATGCCCTCTTCAGAATGACTATGGGACTAAGATGACGTAATTAGATACACAAGAGTGACGTCACACGAGATTGAATGTCTGTGCTTATCGGGAAACACATTGTGATGCAGCTGTTAGTGAATGAATTACGTCTTGGGTAATTGCTTTATGACTCATCGATCGATTACCAACCATTATCCGAAATAATTATGCCCGTTGTTCTCTTGAAATGCTTTTTTACTAAAATAATCGTTTACACATTTTGTAGAATAATTCAACAAACGCTACAACACGTGTGATTTATTTCCAAACCCAATCAAATGTCTCGTTTTAAAGTCTCTTTGGGTGAAATCTGCTTCTTTGTCATACATCATGTTGTGAACTGGATACCAAGAGAAACCTGAGTTTAAAGATTCATCCCAAATCCCCAACTCATAGAACACACACGCACATATACCCATACATGTCTATGGTAGATCGCGCCCGAGGGGCAGAGTGCTCCCCGAACCGTGAACAATCTCAACATCAAGTAAAGATGGCGTTTCTGTGTCATGTGATATTGTTTTATCGTCTGCTTCTCATATTACCTTGGCGCTCTATTCTTGGTCGGTGCATTCGCAGCAGGAGCTTCTGAGTATTGGTGCTTACAAATTTGGGATACTTCCAACTGCGTGCAATGCCGGTAGGTCACGTGACGAAACGGCGTTGTCATATTCTACAGGACTACAACTTTGAAACAGTTGACATTCTATTGTACGGAAGTTAGAAAGTGAATAAATAAATTTAGCACTGGTTGTTCACAGAGGCAGGGTTGTTCCCCTCCCTCTGATCATGTTTCAGGAGTGAAACAGGCCGTTCACGCACGCTGTCTCGAGCAGACGAGAGTTGGAGCAACAGAAGTTCGTAGCAGACGATATCGGGTCGCGTCTTTCAAGTGTGACTCAGGGAGTGCAACGCTCGTCCTTTCAAGCGAGCTGTTGTGTATTTTGTACCTGTGGCTGATTGGCCGCTCAACGCTGAAGGTGGGTCGAAACAAGCTGACCTGGATAGCGGCTTACTCTGAGTTGTGGGAGCGATATAGTTATGAATACTTTGTGAACAGGCTGGGACGGTTATGAATGCATGCTTGTTCGCCATCTACTGTTGTTCGGCGAGGTAGGAAGGTCGCCTCACCCACCGCCTGTTTCTGAAAGGACGACACACGACAGTGTGTGAACGCAGGAAACGTTTGAGGAGTGTTTCATCGCAACAGTAGGTGTCTGTGGGTTAGATACATCGTCGGCATTTAGGAACAGGACCTGATGCGAGTCGTATGACAACTGTGTTTCTGAAGCTATCCCAAGCCAAGTTCCCATGTTTGGATATTAACTACATGTGCTAATAGAGGCTGCGTTTGTAGCAGACGACAAGGGACGATGACACGGGAGGCTCCTCTCTCGTGTGTTGTTGTGATTCTCCTTTCCGTAATAGCTTGCTCGGAGGCTTTGACATTCGGTGGAGACATAACAACATATGCCAAATTTCCCAAATGGAATGCCTGCATCAACTCTTCTCTGAAATTCGAGTTCAAGACCAGAAAGGAAGACGGCCTGTTGATGTATACAGATGATAACGGTCGTTACGACTTCTTCCAACTTGCCCTGAAAGGAGGACAGGTAAGATTATGGATGAACGTGGTTGACGAAAAGGATGGCGTGGTGCAGCTCGTGGTGGGCAAGAACCTCAACGACGGCAGGTGGCATAACGTTGAGGTGAAGAGGAACAGAATGAACACCACTCTGTTTGTGGACAGCTATCAGAGTAGCATGATGTCCTTCGGATCTGATTTCCAGTTTGGAGATCTTTACGAAAACAACTACGTCTTCTTTGGTGGCATCCCTGAAGGATACGAGGATAATCTGAAAGGATTGGCCCTCCCATCGTCCATGTTCGAATCTCGATTCAAAGGAGAGATTCGGAATATCCTTTACTTCAACTGCACATGTATACCTGTACGTGCGGAAATGATTGACAGTACGAACGTGTCCCGGATACCCAGGGAAGCCTGCGAGAAGACCAACAACTGTCCAAGCCACTGTGCTTGTATCAGTTTAGATGAAGGCCCCGGGTGTGAATGCTTTGAAACTCGACAATGTGCAGACCGTAAGTCAATACACGTTTGTTTGTTCTAATTCATATACTCTTACTAACATATTTGGAGCTGGCCAGCCGTGATATTGCTGGAATATTGCTAAAAGCGGCGTAAAACCAGACTCATTCACTGGGACTGGTCATTTGTTATAATTTATAACTAATATTTGAAAATAGTAGAACTACGTCAGTTTTCATGTCCCTATGTTTGGGTACATTTTGGCGACCACCCCACGTCATGCAGTTATTTTTGTAACCCTTTAATCACCCTTTCCCTTGATACATAAATGACCAGTCCATTGTGTGTGCACCTACACACATACATACCGACATTAATACCTGCGAAAATACATATGTCAAATGTTGCATGGTGTATTCGTACAGCTTACAGAAACCAATAACATCAACACAAAGGATTAACCTAAATTCATAATTTGTCCGGATAATCCTCGGTCACATATGTACAACTTGCGCAGATTTATGACACGATCCATAATAATCTTCATCCAGCAAGCTACCCCGTGCCCTCTCCAAGGCACCATGGACATGTACTCTGTTATGTTGGGTTCAAGGACTTGATACCCGCACACTTGTACTCTTCAAAAACACAAATAACATTATCCGCACAAACGTCCAACCGTTATGCACATCCTTACCCCATCAACAGATAACCCTTCTGATATCTCCAGCAGCAACACGATATAAATAATCAGAACATGTGGTTTATGTATTTGCACCAGTGCAATGCGACCAAATAACCACCTTCAAAGATGGTAGTCAATCTTCAAGCACATTCTAATGCAAGTATACACACACACACACACACACACACACAGACACACACACACACACACCGCACACAATCATAAATGTCACACATCACAAACACACATCTTTCGCCACACATGCATTTTTGTATCACACTTCTAAATGCCATTGAAAGACACATGTACACAAATTACTGTTGAAAACTGTACCACTTATTAACACAGTAAATGATGTTCAAACACAAAACGTGAATCACCAAAATTACAAATATTACACAAATAATTGGTTTATACAATAATAGTCTATACATGTCACCACGAGTGGTATAACGTAACCTAATATTCCTAGCACAAGGACATATGTTCACACATACGTTGACTATTTCAAGCTTATATCAGCAGCACAGCTGGTGAGAGATAATGTTATATCGGATCATGCAGTGAATATGGTCATGCAACTCAGCAAGTACGCTCGTTCATAACAAGACAGGTTCGTGGGCAATCCGTAACAAACACTCGTAGTGGCGTGAGGTATATATATCCGGATGCAAGATAACAACATAAGACGCTGATCTGAGCAAATCACCAGACCTACCCAGTTTTGTTACATCCTTGTGGTAGTGTAGTGTGTGTTCTTCACGTAATCTGTTCTATCTAGGGACCGACTAATTCTTGATCTATTGGACAGATGCTCTGGTAATACGTTGTTGAAGAGAGTAGAGCTTCTGGTGGTAAAATCAGTCATTTACATTTGCAGAAATAATTCGGATAATAATTATGTATTTGGATTTAAAGATTTCGCATTAAATTTCATTTGGACAAACTAAAATAAGGTATAGAGACAATGACTTATTTCTAAAGTTTGCATTTTAATCTCTCACGTTTAATATTACACCACTCTTTGTATGTCCGTTTAGGGTATTTCCCCTATGACCCTTTTGTAATACCTTATTACCCCATTGTAATATCATGGCGTTTATGGTCAATCTATCAACTGAGGAGCAATTGATCCATCACATCAACAAAACACGGCCATCAGTTTTCGGTCAACAGATTGTTTACAAACTAATATTCCATTTCAACAACGACACACCTCATCAAATAGTTAAAATATGCACTGGGCTATGTCAGTTACAAGTCAAGTACAAGGCCATGTGATTGTAATTGATCGATCACGCACCTGACCTGAAACAGGACCAACACCCCATTGCCCTACCATCTGCTTCAACTCACAGGCTCCTGCATTGGGCAGGTTGGTCAAGTTGGATTTGTTTGAATAAATATTGACCCCTCCTGGCCTACTGTAACTAGAGTGCTACTTCAACATCAGATCCATCCGCCTTCAACACATCACTTATCAATTACAGGTACACGAGTACATCCAATTGAGCAGGAGTTGTTTTGAGTCCGTGGGATGTTGTGGAATCACGTTTTATCGTAAACATCATCACAAAGTTTGTAGGTTTTGTTTGCGGGACACGTTGGGAATCATGTAAGCTGTTTTAAAATACCAGTGATCTTACATTATAATAACGATGATCCTACACTTGTGTAGAAAAGGGTGGTTAGTGCCCATCATAACAAGAATATAACAAAATAAGGAAGCGAGTTTTTGTGGATGTCAACTTCTTTATTATGAGGAACACAACGTTTCAGAATATATGCAGACTCCTTCGTCATTCACCTGATGGATAAGGATAAGGATAAGGATAAGGATAAGGATATCCTCCGAAACGTTGTGTTTCTCATAATAAAAAACTTCCTTAAGTGGCATTCATAATAAAGAAGTTGACATTAAAAAAAACCTCGCTACCTTATGTGTATCATTTCTAAATGCCATTCAAAGACCTAATAGAAAATAACCCAATCAAATCCAAAGATGCTGAAATTTTGCTTTTGTTTTTATATAAAAATATCTGAACAAGATACCACCAGTCTCGAATTTAGATAAAGTTATGTATTCACCGAGCAGACGTATACATACTGTTGTCTATAAAACATTCAACAACTTTAACAAACTCTCCAAATGCATCCATTACCTAAATATGCATGGACATTTGTACATATGTTACACGAGTATTCACAAACATGTGATGCATGACAGACACCGTGCATGCTGTCTCTACTGATGACACATGTGTGAACGTCTTCTGTATAAATTCCAGGTTTCAGGCAAATACCCGGCTGGGATCTTGGCCGTGGGGGTAAGCAGAGCTGTGTGCTAGAACAGCTGTAGGGATGCTCAAACGTTTGTTTTGCTTAACACTATAGAAGCAAAGCATGTTTGTAGGCCGTACTTGGGTACTAAACAGTCGTTGTTTTCTTGTTTCTGTTTAGACAAGGTCGCATGGCCATGTAGTACAATCGATGAGGCAATTGTTTACATAATCTGCATCAATGTAATGCTTGTTGCCAAAGAGGCAAGACATTATTTATGTTTTGAAGTTGGTACATAGTCATGTTATAGTTATATAGTTTAGATGTTTGCAGTGATCATGTCATGCACTCATCGCCACATGATACCTCATCCCGGAGCATCATACTCACAAACCATCCCACCATCTTTGAAAAGTCAAAGCTCATGACATACAATGGAGTATGTGTACGACCTGCTTACATGCAATATTATACATTATGCCATTAACTACAATACTACCTGTAATTTCAGTTCAAGCAAAAGGATATCTTTGCATTTTAAATGCAACCAAGCGCACGTTACATCTTGAATAAACTTAATATCATTGATACTCACCCATGTGTACGTGTATCATGTAGACATTTATAAGCAAACATAATGGAAAATGTTTTTAAAGGGTTACAAGTTTTACCTGTTTAACTTACCATTTTTTTTTATAAACGACCAAGGTGTACTCAGTACATGCATTTAATTGCAAATTTTATTCTTCACAAATTTGAGGAAACGAACATACAATATTTCCATAGGTTATTTAAAAAATACTTTTTGAACACCGTACTTAAAGTTAACTATAGAAATCTGAACTTTAACATTCTTTTGGAGAGCCCTTGAGTTTTTCGGTCCCATTTCAAGCTCATTTGGACGTAAATTCACACCACGAAGCAATCCAGACGGGCGTCGCCCGCTCCAGCCCGTCGCGTGGTCCACTACACAATCATTTCCCCAATTATCGTAATCATATATGAAAATCAAAACCTGGCCCTAATTGTGCCAACGAATGTTAAATTCAAATTCAAATTTAGGAAATGTTTAAAGTCTTACATGGCAAATCTGAGATATGAATTTGATGTTATTCGTGGTATTTCCAGATTGACCTGGGGCTAAGCATTTTAATGACGTCCCTGAACATTAGCTTATCAAAGGCAGCAGTCCATTGCAGTTCATCTTTGTGTAACAAATGAGAGGATGTTTAACTTTCTGCTGCATCGTGATGACGGATATACCGGCTGTTGTTGTAACACCTGGTTTGAACTCTGCAACACGTGGTCTCACGGAGGTTCTAATCAATGCGCATAGAACAACCATAAATCATGTGACAAACACTGACTTTGTGTAATGCAATACACATGGAATGTTAGACTAACAGCTAGTTTCTGAAATGAACATATTTTACAAAAAGAAATTTATTTAAATTAAAATAAAAGACAATAAAATGGAGACTTTTAAAATAAAATACAATACACAAAGAGACTTTCTTCATTTTCAGAAACTGTAACTATGGAAATCTAGACTTGCCAAATATTCTAGACTTGCATAGGATACATTGAATATAGTTGTTTCAGGGTCGGTATGACAAATGGAATGTATGACAACAGAGTTTTAGGCTACACGATGTTAAAGTGATTAAATAAGAAACACTCCTGACTTTCTATTTGTAAAATGCATATTTAGACTCGCCATTTCAGTAAAGTTGATCCAAAGCCAAACAAAATTGTTTTCACAACACACATAAATGTCATGAGTGGTATCCCTGGCTTCATAAACAAATAGCTTGACAAATAATTGAGCATGATCTGGAACATCACTGGGAAGTTCAGATAGACGTTCAGTACCTTCTGATGCCCTACTAACGGCTCAGATAGGACAGGGTGTTTCAGTTATCGCATACATGTGGAAATTCGTTCAACGCCTTGGAGGGATCAAGTGTTTGAGATTCCGATGTAGGTTGCCCGTTTCATCTTTTTTGCATTACCGAGTGACATATATAAATATCTGGTTCAGATGTGTATACTGCTCATTTTAATAGCCAATAATGATGTTTATTGATT